GCACGAAACAAGAAATTCTTTCAAGAAAAAATATTATGGAGTTCAAGAATTTGATACAAAATGCATTCATAATAAATGCCAAAATAAGAAGAGCAAAGGAAAATACCGTGCAGAGGTATGCGCCACACTGATCGACTTTCTTGTCCTACTTCTTGCAAGGTTCTTGTCTTCAGACAAGAATCTTCAGATTTGTCTTGATACATCACACAAGATTTTTCTGTTAATTTTTTATTGATTTTTCATCTTTTTTCGTGACATATTCTTACCTAAATTGGCCAGATTCATTGACGATAAAATTACCAATTTGTTTTGTCGACTCCAGTGCTATATATAAGTTATATAATATAATTCAAGACATAAATGTTTGTAAAAATGCCTTTAAATCCTATAAGATTCTTGTCGAAAGATAATCGAGTCTTTATATGTGCCAGTATTGACGTCAGAGCGTCCAGCTCCTATATATATGAAAAGAAAAGAAGACAAAAAATGGATTCTATATGCATTCTTTTTGTTTGCAAGATTCTTTTAAGAATTACAAGACAAGATTCTGGCAGGAAAAAATGAGACAAGAAACTTGCAGGTAAATCGCTTTCTTTGTGAATTCATACAAGAATCGCGAGACGGATTCTCGTCTCAATTCACAAGAAAGCAATTTCCTGCAAGATTCTTGTGATAAAAATACATATAAAATATTTTACAAGCTTCTTGTCTATGCCGCGAAACAAGAATCTTACAAGAATACACAAGAACGTCAACCAGTGCAGGCAGAACTTCGTTCTGTTCTTTTCATTCTTCATTTTATCTCGATGAAAAGAAAAACCAATGAGTCATTTGAAGAACAGAAAAGAAGAAAATGATCGAAGTAGAAAGGTTGGTTCATAAGAACGAAGAGTAAATAAATCTTACAAACTATAGCCGTACATGCGATATTTTCACGTTTTTCATGTTTTTTTCAAAAAACATAACTGTGAAAAATCGCCCCTATTGAATAAAATTTTATTTACAAAATCTAGCCAACTTGATAGCATGCTTCTTAAAATGTTTCTGTTGCACTTACACCAGCGGGACGTTGATACTTAACGAGTTTAAAAAGAGCATATAAATGTTGTACAATATCAATTTCTAATTGATCTTTTGAATCATCTATATGACAGAGAGAGCGAAGGGGAGAAACTACTCTTTCTAGTTATAATCCATATGGAAACTAAAGTTGTCAAGCCACACAGGATAGAATTAAAGGCTCCGAATCTACGAAAATGGATAAGAATAATGGTTCTTCGATAAGAATTTGTTTCAATTGACGAAAAGCTTGCTGCTGATCTAGACCCAATGGAAACGATGTCGATGTGATTTGATTAAGTTGGTGACTGGGTGTATAGGAGCAGCGATGGATACAAAATCTTTGATGTATTTACGATAAAACAATAAAGAGTCGATAAATTTGTTGGGTTTGGATACCGATGAGTCATTTGAAGAACAGAAAAGAAGAAAATGATCGAAGTAGAAAGGTTGGTTCATGAGAACGAAGAGTAAATAAATCTTACAAGCTATAGTCGTATATGTGATATTTTCACGTGTATTTTTATAATATAAAGTCCAGTTATTGCATATTGTATTTTACAGCGGTCTAGATTTGTTTGATTAGATGCTGGATGTTTATTAAGAGAATTAACAGTTAATTAAAGACAACGAAAAATAGAATTCATTAAACAGAATTAGCATCATTTTAGTTATTTGGATTTAAGATATGTCCTACAAAAATTAGATAACGACAAAAAACAATGTTTAATGTAATTTCATAAAAATGATGCACAAACCAATAAAAACTAAAAGGTGAACTAATTGGAACAAAATAACAAAGATAAAATCATCAGAAAGGAACGATTACACAAAACGTCTGTTTGAATATGCACATTTCGTATCGACAGGATATCATCATTATCTTCTTAAAGTATCTCTTTTAGAGTTTAGAATCAAAAAAGTAGTTTTTCAGAGATTTTCTAAAAAATCAAGTTTGCTGCATAAGACAGTTGACTTTGTGACAGAATAGCATTCAATGCATCCAGAAATATTCTCGAGTTTGAAAGCTCTGATTTCTGCAAGCCGGTAGAGCTAGATGACAACAAATAAATAATTAATAGTATATTCATTGGAATTACTTTAGGAAGTTTAAAAATAAAACACAGAAACAGTCCAACACGAAGAAGTATAACATCCACGGCTTCTCTGTTCAAAATGTCAGCAATTATTTATTCGTTGTCAGAGCAATTTTTTTTATTACTCAGACTCTTCAAAACATCAAGCAATGAAATCAATGCACAAATGATACCTTTCCAAAGCCAATGTAACTGACTAATTGTTAGAGTACAGCATATTTTTTTAGACCAATCTAAACGCGACACACACATCATAGAATTATCTTTGAATTGTGGAATATTTCGTCATCTTATTTCTTTTTCGAATTTTATCGTAGCAAAACTTATTCTCATATTCGTCTATTTTTTGTTAATAATTATAAAATGAAGAACAGAAAAAACAAAGGTGTTGAGACCGTGTAACAATTTATTTTCTTTGGTACCTGACAAACATTATTTATGACAGCAGAAAGGTGAGTAATATTGAGTGTTTAGTAAGATTTCTACACAAGAAGTTAACAGATTCTGGACTCCAAATGCTTCAACTTTCTAATACAGCCCTACTAAACGAATACTATTCGTGCCAGCTGAGCTGGCAGCCTTTTTCTAACTATTATTTAAGAGATGAAGAAATCCCTTCATCATTCACATTTTTTAACGTTATGGATAATTCAAAACTTGTTTAGCGTTGTGATTCAACCGGAATCGGATGGATGGGATAAAAAAGTACCATGTTGTTTCGAAAATCTCTCCTTTGATAATGCTCGTGAAATCATTTACAAAAATTTAACTCATTACTTCCATTTGACGAATTTCAATACGCTCTTAGTAAAAAGTAGCGATAACACATATTCGTTTGAATGTACACGTGATGAAGCAAATTTAATTCGAGATAATCTTCATTTAATTTTAACATCGGCACACACAAGTGTTTGGTACACAATTAATACACACCCTTTGCATAGCTTACATGAACGCTTGTTTTCCGATAAAAGACCAAGTCGACATCAACCAGCGAAAGTTTTGTTCGACTTTGGTTCAATGTATTCTACTAATCTATTTTACAGTCATACAAACCGGTTTCGTTATACGGCTACTATTATAGTTTGGGCTGAAAGATACCGCACAACTTCACTGATACTTGCAATAAATCAATTGAATAAAAGAATTACTATTCCTGTTCAATTTATTCAAAAAAAGTTATTAGTTAACAAGGGCAACGATAATCAACCAGTCCAAATAATTCTCATGTTAAACGCTGCAGTAAAAATTGAGGAAAAAAATAGTGACAATAAATCGTACACACGGTAGGATGCGCTCTTACTAGTCAAAAAGAATAAGGATTATTTAAAAGAAATGGAAAGCGATGCGTACATCCATTAAGGACCCCCGCTAGAAACCTATCTCTGAAAGCATAAGTCCGAGCCTGGCCAAACTTTCAGGAGATGCTGATCTTGTGAAAGTAGCGTGTCGACATTTTTTGTTTGGGTCCATCTAGCATGGCTTGTGAGATGTCGTCATAATGACCAAAATGGGGCTATTTGTACGTGCAAGGTTTCTCAGCAACAGAACGTTGTGGAGAGGTCGGGATGGCCTTAAATTCTCGAAAACACATGTGGCTAGAGGCTAATAGAGTCGGCTTTTTGATATTTTACTTTCAAATTAATGATCAGCGTCATAAGTCCAAAATTCGAAAAGGTCTCATTAACTTGCATAAAGATATTTTTCTAACCAGAAATCTACACCAAATGTAAAAAAACTTCGGCTATTTTTTTATTAGCCTCTAGCCGCATGTGTTAGCTTCACTTTAAGGGGTTTAAGACGATACCTAAGAGGGAACGCGTGTATAAATGGGGTTTGAAAAAAGGAATTATAATAATGCAATAAAAGATTTCTAGAATTCACTGATTTTGGCAGAGTTGTTTAGTATATGTATAGTATGATATTGAAGTCCATAGTGGATATGGATTTCTGAAATTTCTGACGCTATCTATAGTTGACGTATATGCACTGTGTATCGTGGCATGAAGAAGGAGAAAGCGGAAGGGAAAAATTCTTTTACTTGCACAGTATGTGTGTTGTGCAGTGGAAGAAAAGATGAAAAGAAATCGTGTTTGAGGCTGTTTCGTGCATACCTGCCTGCCTATTCGTATAGTAGACTACAGGGTGAGAAAAGAAAAACTGTTGTGTATGGTTTGATAATATGTTTGTACAGTAGAAGATGTTTGTGCAGTCTATGTAATACATATATGCATATACATATACTGCAATGTATGTAGTACAGACTTGAAATCCCTGAAATCCTAATATCACTCCATGCATATATAGATATAGATATAGATATACATATACATATACTGCAGTGTGTGTAGGGGGGGGGGGGGGGGGGGGTTGGTGAGGGTGGGGCCCCCCCAAATTTTTGTTACGTTTTTTTTAAAGGGCATTTTTACTTTATTTTTTAAATAAATTTTAAGAATTTATAACCATG